CTATAACCTTGGGTCCCCCACTACAACCTGTGGCCGCCGTCTATAACCTGAGGCCTCCCATTGTAACCTGGGGCCCCTTACCTGTAATCTGGGGCTCCCATCTGTAACCTGGGCCCCACACCTAAACCTAGAGCCTCCACGTATAACCTGGGGACCCCACCTAGAAACTGAAGCCCCTCAATGGTAACCTGAGACCCCATCCTGGGGCCCCCCACCTATATAACCTGGGCCCCATCTATAACCCAGGGTCCTTAACAGAACCCAAAGAATGGTGAGGGTGAGAGCACGCTGGCAAAGCATTTTCCCCAGGGCTCCCTTAAAGATTTGTAACTATGGCTTAGGCCTATTACTAATCCCATTTGTCACAGTTTACTGTCCCAGAGGTCACGCTGCCTCTCTAGGTCCAAAGTGTCATCCCTGGCTGCTAAGTCTTTTCTTTTTGTGGTGATTCATAAAGTAATAGTATATCTCACTTCCCATGGCTTTTATATTTGATGACATACGGTATTGTTACTCCCCCACTCAGAGAAATGGTATAGGAGAAGCCAGGAACGCCCCCAGCACTCCCCGCCTCCGCCTCCCCCCAACCAGCTCAGCTGAGGCTTAGAGCAGCCCTCAAAGGGGTCTCAACCTCATCGTGCTTGGGAAGGTCCCCCCAAACTGTCTCTGTGCTAGCCTGGCTTGGGTTTGATGCTTGCTATGAACCTTACATAAGCACGACAGCTGGGCAGCCCCAAGGCCTGCATCACCCAGAGAGGATGATGCTAGAATTCTTACTGGGCTCCTGGGGGCTCCCAGGCTGGGCATTGAGATGTGAGTGCCCGCTCCACCAGGCACCTGGTCAGGGGGCTTCGCCTCTGCAAACCTCAGTCACCTGTAAGGAGGGTGGAAGGAGGATTCTAGAACATTCTATCACCTGGAAAGGAAACCCCGTCCTTATCAGCAGTCACACACCCCCAGCCCCTCCCCCAGCCCTTGACAACCATGAATCCACTCTCTGTCTCTGCGGATTTGCCTGTTTTGGATGTTTCCCAGCAACAGAATCACACTGGGTGGCCTTCTGTGTCTGGCTTCTCTCACTGACACCATGTTTTCAAGTTCATCCATGTGTGTCAATGACTTATTCCTTTTCATGGCTGAATATTATTCCAGTGTGTGGATATGTCATATTCTGTCTATCCGTCATCTGTTGATGGACATTTGAGTTGTTTCCACTTTTTGACTACTGTGAATCGTGCTCCTGCAAATATCCGTGTACAAGTTTTTGTGTGGACGTATGCTTCCATTTCTCTTGGGCAGACACCTAGGAGTGGAATTACTGGGCCATGTGGTCACTCAATGTTAAACTTTCAACTTTGTTTCCAAAGTGGCTGCACCAACTATATGAAAGTTCCAGTTTGTCCACATCCTTGCCAATACTTGTTATCATCCCTTTTTTTTTTTTTTTGATCATAGTCATCCTAGTGGGTATGAAGTGGTTAATCTAATTGAATTTAATTAATTTATTTTTTTGCTGTGCCACACAGCTTGTGGGATCTTAGTTCCCTGACCAGGGATCGAACCTGGGCTCCCAGCAGTGGAAGTGTGGAGTCCTAATCACTGTACTGCCAGGGAATTCCCTGAAGTGGTTAATTTTAATAACATTTATTTTAACTTAACATATCCAAAATTTATCATCTCAACATGTAATCAGTGTAAGTTGTTGGGTGTTTTCACATTACGATTATTAAGATATACATATATACACATACGTATATGTATATACACATATATTATGTTAACACGTTTTCACGTTAAGGCTTCAAATTCCAGTGTGCGGTTACACCCACAGCACATCTCAATTCCAGCAGCCACATTACAGGAGCTTAACAGACACATGTGGCCAGTGGCTGCCGTACTGGACAGCACAGCTCACACTGCCGAGGATGCAGCAGTGGCCAAGACATACCCAGCCTCTGCCTCAGAGAGTTCGCAGTGTAGTTCCAGACACCGAAGGAAAACGGGTAACAGAATGTATAGATGAGACGGTTTCTGCTGGTGACAAGTGTTAAGAAGAAAATCAAACTGGAAAGGGGTTACATTCAAGGGAATGATCAGGAGGACTTCTCAGAAAAGGTGGCGTCTGAACTGAGATTCACCTTCATGGACTCTTTCTGCAATGGTCACCAAACATATCCCGAGTCCCTTCCGTGTGTCCTGAACATCAGGAGAGGGGTGGAGTGAAGGAGAGTGAGGCCTACAGATGCCAAAATTATCAAATACCCCAGATTCCAAGAAATTTGGGCGTAAGCCAGCAGTCAGTCAAAAACATAGAAAATACCAAAAAGAATGTGAGTTGGGCAGTGTTCCTTTTTCTTCACTTTTCTGGAAGAGACTGTTTGAAACCAATGTTATTTCTTCCCAAAATGTTTGATGGACATTCACGAATGAAACCATCTGGGCCTTAATTGTCTTTGTTGAAAGGTTTTTCCCAGGAATTCTCTGGCAGTCCAGTGGTTAGGACCCTGTGCTTTCACTGCTATGGGCCTGGGTTCAATCCCTGATGATCCTGCCAGCTGTGCAGCCAAGATAAGAAAGGTTTTTCCCT